CCAAAATTCACCCCACAAGAGCTGCTCGACCCCAGCCCCAGGGGGTTCCCCCCTCCACGTACTTGTAGCCCATCCCATGGCAAACGATGACGGAGCCGTCGTCCGAGCCCGAGGCGAAGAGCGGGTAGTGCTTGTGGAAGGCCACGCTCCGCAGGGCTCTCTTGTGGTGCCTGCAGGGACAAGGGACAATGACAGGGCAGGGGGTGGAGGAGCTGCCCCTGTGCTGGGTCTGTGCACAGCCAGGCTTATGGGCCCCGGGCTCTGCTGTGAATCATGGCATGGGTTGTGCTGGAAGGGAGCTTAAATCTCCTCCAGCTCCAACCCCTGCCCCGGGCAGGGACACCTTCCACTAGAGCAGGTTGCTCCAAGCCCCTGTGTCCAATCTGGCCCTGAACACTGCCAGGGATGGGGCAGCCCCAGCTTCTCCCTTCAACCCTTTCCAGTGTCCCAGCACCCTCCCGGGGAAGAGCACCACCCCCATGAGGAAGAACTTCTGCCCAAGATCCCATCAAACTCTTTCATCTTCCAGTTGGAGCCGTTGCTTCTCATCCCATCTCTGCATCCCTTGTCCAAAGCCCCTCTCCAGGTTTCCTGCAGCCCCTTTAGGCACTGGAGCTGCTCTAAGGTCTCCCCAGAGCACAACAGAGGGGCAGGATCCCCTCCCTGAGCTGCTGCTCATGCTCTGGGGGTGCAGCCCAGGCTGATTCTGTGTGTGGGAGGGGAGGGGGCAGCTGGGACAGGCTGGGACCTGCTGTGGGCAGCTCAAAGCCCTGTCCCCACCCCAGCACAAGAGACACCACCAAGCTGGGCAGGGATCCTGGCACAGCCCCGATGGGCTCCATCCTGCTTCCAGCCTCCAGGAGAGGGATCAGCCCTGGGAAGAGACCTCAGGAGGTCTGGGGGGGGCTAATGGGGAGCAGGCAGAGGTTGCCATGGCCATGGCCTCACCTCAGCAGCTGGTAGGGTCTGGTGGAGAGGTCCAGGTCGAACCAGGCCAGTTTGCTGTCGTAGCTCCCACAGATGATGTTGTCACCTGCAAGAGGGAACTGGGTGTTACTGGGGGTTACCAGTGACCCCCCTATTTTCCTGCCAGCACCCAGAGCCCTGCCTCCACCCCAGGCTGAGCCACATGCTCCATCCAGGCTTCCAGGACGTGGCAGCTCCCCCAATCCGGGGTGGATGGCCATGCTGGACACCCACTTGCAGTTGGTCATCAGCTTCTTGGTGAGCTCCTGCTTGAGGAGGTTGTAGACCCGGACGTAGCGCTGGGTGGCCACGAAGAAGTAGGGCCGGATGGGGTGGAAGAGGACGCACTGCACCAGCCCCTTGCTCCGGCGGAAGGGGTTCTGGCTCCAGCGCTTGCTGCTCTGGTGGATCAGCACCTGCATGTTGCTGTTGTCGGACACCACCGCGGCGCAGGAAACCAAAAAAAGTGCCAGGTGACCTGCTTCACCGCCTGAAGAACCACGGGGCAGAGCCATCAGTGGGGCTGCCCCACAGCAAACTGGGCAGCAGCTCCAGGGGTGGCCCCGTCCCCACCTTGCTGTGCTGGACAACCAGCCGGATGCCTTTGCTGTGCTCCTCCACGGTAGCCGTCACCCACTGGACGGGCTGGACCCGCTCCTCCTCTGGTGGCACGTAGGACTCGAGGAGCTGGTCAGTGGCCCCATAGAGCAGCTTGTCCCCAAGGCAGGGGTTCACCAGCAACACCGACTGCTCCCTGTGGTGTGGGGTGAGGATGTGGGTCAGGGCACTGCTGAGGAGGAGAAACCCCTCTTCAAGCCATGGGATAGCCCCAGCATGGGGCCAGGCCCATGAGGAGGGACATGTGGGACTCTGGAAGGTCCTTCCAAAGGAGAACATGGGGGAGCTCTGTCATAGCCCAAACGCCAGAGGGAGGGTGGTGGGGACTGACCGGGTCATGGAATCATGGAATCATTGAGGTTGGAAAAGACCTTTGAGATCATTAAGTTCAACCGTTCCCCAGCACTGCCAAGGCCACCACTAACCCATGTCTCCAAGTGCCACATCTACATAGATTGGCCCCGATCATCATCCACAGAAGAAGGAGGGCCACCAAAGGAAGGGTCACAGAGAGCAGAGGTGGCTTTGCACACTGCAGAGTGGCCATCATTGATGCTGTGGGGTGGCACCAGCCTAGAGGCACCCCTTGGACAGGCTTTGGGAGAGGGACTCCATCAACTGCCCCCAGCTCAGGGAGCTCCTGGAGGGGGGATGTGGATGCTGGGACACTCACACGCAGATGGCCACCAGGCAGATGGTGGGGTTGGGGTTCCAGGCGATGCTCTTCACCACCCCTCCAACGGGCAAGGTCTTCATGCACCGAGCGGTGCAGCCTAGAGGCACCCCTTGGACAGGCTTTGGGAGAGGGACTCCATCAACTGCCCCCAGCTCAGGGAGCTCCTGGAGGGGGGATGTGGATGCTGGGACACTCACACGCAGATGGCCACCAGGCAGATGGTGGGGTTGGGGTTCCAGGCGATGCTCTTCACCACCCCTCCAACGGGCAAGGTCTTCATGCACCGAGCGGTGCTCACCTCCCAGAACCGCACGGAGCCATCGTCAGAGCCTGCGGGACACGAGAGGTGAGCCAGAGGCAGGGATGTGGAGACACACGGTGCCAGGGCTTGGGGTGCTGGGTGAGGAGAAGCTCC